GTTTCTGAAGGCACACTGTGACACTGGCAGGAAAGTCACCCCGAGTACAAGAGCACAGAGTTCCAACTTATGAACATCTGACCATGGTGAAAAAGGTGCATTAAGCTGTTATTCCACAATACTCCCCTGGTATTTGTAGCATTTATGAAGAACTTCTACAGAAAGGAAAACTACCTTCATGCAACAATCACTTCTTGTCAAATGAACAAAGAATTCAATATATTTCAAACACTAACTCTGTCACACCGTTAAATTAATGCCGAATTATCCACAAGTTGGAAAGAATAACAACAAAGAAGCCAGAATGAGACATGATCCAGGAAAGTTACTGTGCTTCCAGTACCACTCAGATTTTCAAGGTGGGTACTGGAGACTGATTTGTCATAATCACACACATACCCTGTCTGTGGTTCATTATAAATCCTGTTAAAAATATTTAAATACAAGAATATGTCTGGGTAGACATTTATAAGTAGGTAAAAAGCTGAATTACAACTGGACAGACCAAAGAGAGTGTTTGGTGTGAGGAAATTCAGTGTCCAGGCAAATACAGAGCTGAGGGATCACCAACACATTCCCTTCCCTCCCTGACAATATTTCTCTCCTCTTTTTACCCCTTCCTTGAGTTTTAACAACAAACTGGTATCATGGACACAAAATTATCCCCTCTCCAAAGTGGATGTTGTCTGTCCCAACTGGATCCTCAGCAATGGGCCCACTGGCAAAGTAAGTGAGGAGTTATTACCAATTTATGGAGTTCACAGAAGGACAAATTATGATTTGAACACATACAGGGAAACAGGATTTTGAAGGAAACGTGTTTGAAGCCAGGAAACCAAAAAAACCCAATGAACAAAAGGGTTTTGGGACACCAGGATTTAAAAGTTTCACTGGCAAGTTCAATTTAATCATTAAAATGTATTTTGTCAACTGCTCATTCTACTGATTTTTTTTTCCCAGTAACTCGTCAAAACTCCCTCTAAATTTTTTCCCATTATATTTTGAAGGAATAACTCTGCCATCAGAAATCAATTTGTACACTTCCACTTCTCTCTTCCTTCACCATCCAAACAGTTACTAAAAAGAAAGAGGAAACTTTTCAACACAAAGAGGTATTAATGTATTATTAACTATTCCTTTAACTGACTCACAACACAGTCTATTTTTATTTGCCTCTGGGGGAAAAGGAAAAGAGGGGGAAAAAAAAAAAAAGAAAAACAGAAGGGCTTGGAACTTTATGTAACACATCAATTGAAAGGTTGGTTTCTCACAGCTGGAACAAAACTGGCCCTTAATGGAGTTAATTTTACTTTCATTTACTGGGTTTCACTTTCAGGTATTTGGTGCTACTCAGCCCCTGGAAACTTTGCAAGGAGTATGTTTACAAATAAGTGCCAGCTTGTGTTATTCCAATTACAGCACCATTGCCCTGCTTTTCCAAAATGCCACATTCAGGGCTGGAATGCAGCTCATTTTGTCTTGGGGCAGGGGGACTGAAGGAGCTGCTGCCCAGATTTGGGAGGCTCCAGAGTATTCCCACTGGAGGGACACAAGCAGGGCTGGCTGGGAGCTGTGTCCCAAATTTCCCCAGCCCTTCAGTGGGGATTCTCCCTGAAAATCACCCAGACAGGGATTCTGGGGTGAATAAGGAGAGGATAAAGTCATATTTTCACAGTGGGGAAGTACAAAGCAGAGCCCTGTTCTGAGGGAATGAAATCCACTGGTACCAGCAAAAGCAGGTGAGTTATTTTTCCAGGCAGGCTGGGATAAAACACAACCACATGCAGAATTTTACCTTCCTTCCCCCAAAAGGGGAAAGGATGGATAAAAAAATTGGACAGTCATTGCAATTCTATTGTGTATTGTGTCCCCTTGAAGAGGCAGCACCAGATAACTCTACATAAAGTTTCTGTGGTGTTTTGGAACCATCCATGGACTACAGGTCCCATAACCCTCCTCCTGAAGGACCCATGGAGGTGAGGAAGGAAAAGCAGAGTATTCCCCTTCTCTGGATTATGTTTTTCACCCCTCACAAGAAAGGCACTCTGCTCAGAGAGGTTTTTTTGGTATTATTTCAAATAGAGCAATAAAGAAGTCTCACTGCATAAACATCAGACTTCTTGAAGTCTGAGCAGCAAAAAAGTTATTACATAATTTTTTTTAAACAGATATTTCTTACCAACCTCTTGATAAAAAAAAAAAAGAGATGAAACTGTAAACTTAACAAATAATCTTTTGTACTGGGTTATAAAGACAAAAGCAGCAGTTCTCTGTAAATAATCCTATTCTACAACAACAGATCTATTTACAAAAGGATTTCAGAAGTTATACAAGTCTCCCGTGCTCCCTCAAAACAAAGGTATCAGAAAGTTTTTGCCTTCACTTTGGAGAACAGCTCCTCAAATGGCATTAAAAATTACCATTTTAAAGGCTGAACATACACCAGGCTGCAGTTCTTACTCAGAAACATGAACTGGAACAACAACTTTCAACCTACAGTCCCAAAGCCAGGGCTAAAACCACCTGAAATAAGAGGTCTTAAGAGGAATGCCCAAAAGATAATCTAATTACAGCAACAAAAATTGCCTCTTTTTTGGCACTGGTAGGTTCTAGCCTTCGAACCACCACCCACTGGAGCTCAGATGAAGCTGTAAAATGCCATCATGGCAAGGAAAGGTTCGGTTTTTGTGTGTGTAACTCATCTTCTCACATCCCATCCGAGCAGGTGGTCCAGTTTCAAGCATGATTTTAAGCTGTGGCACATGTCAGCAAATATGTCCTAATTAAATGGCACTTTCTGAGCTCAGACAAGGCACAGTTTTTTTCTGGACACCAGTGGTGTTGTGCTACTTTGGTTAAACTATCAACCAGTTTGCAGGAGTCACTCAGGGCCATCAGGTGCTGATCCCAGCCCACACAATCCCCCAGACCTCAAAAACTGATAAATTCCCGGGGCCTGCCTCGTTATTTCCCACAAGGAAGAGAATCCTGCCCATAAATCCACGCTGGAACAGAGAACTCTTGGCTGCTATTAGGTAAAATTATCCCTGTTGTGGCTTCTCTGTCACTGTCCAACGTGGGGGAGGGGATTCCAATGACAAGTCCTAAATCCACCCAAGTATTGATGCAGGAACTGTAACAGTTCCTGCTCCTGTAACAAACCTCTGAGCCTGGAAACAATATTAAACTATTGTCCTCTTGCCCTCCCGGTTCAAGAAATCCCTGCTTTTTATTCAGTTTTGAACAAGATACACTTGCTCTACCCGAGGAACATTGCAAAGCCATGAATTAAACTCAATAAGCTTCATAAACTTGGAGAGAATTTTTAATTTGCAGCAGAAAATGTAAATTTAACACTTCACACACATATTCGACTTCAGACTGCAAATAAAAACAGTCTAGTTCTAAATAATTCATGTAAGCCAAAAACATGAAGCGTAGCCTACAAAAGTATCTATATATACACACAGCAAATATATATAGATAATAGTTAACAAATACTAGCTCAGAGTTATTTCCAGTGTTATTATTCTAATTCTATAAAGTATAATTAATTTTCCAAAAATATCCAACCTACACAGGTTGGGGGAGGAGGGGGGCCATGGAGAAAAAAAGAGAAACAAGTTTACCAAAACTTTTTAGGGCTACAGTCTATTCCAAGGAGGGAAGGTAAATTCTGCTTGGCTACAGGCAGGGAATTAAATACCACCAGAAACTAAATGTTTGCTTATTTATCACCAGATATCATCTGTGTATTCTTCAACTCCACACACCTCTTCTTAAGGAAAATGTAAGGAAATACCAACAAGATAATAAAACAAGTTGTGGACTTGTACAAATCCAGACCCCCATGATACTCAATCCACCTAAGTCTGACTTTAGGAACCCCCTGGCAAAAGTTAACAGGACACTCGAACTCAGATTAAACCGGGACGGTTGTCAAAAACACGCTTGTTGATTTATTTTGCAGTCAGATATTCTGCCTTTGTTAATTTTCAATAACAATAAATGTTTATTTCCCCCGTGACCGGGGAGAAATAGGAGAACTAAGTAAGAGCAGCAATGTAGATACATGATCAAAGAACCCTTATGTGGTCCTTGGCCGGGCTGAACCCAAAACTTCAAAGCTGACCGAGATTCAAAAACGCACCAATTTCGAAATTTCGAAATACAGGACTTTTTAATTGCGTTTTGTGATTCCTTGGCGGCGGGAGGGAACTGTGGCCGCTCCAGAGGAGCACCCAGCGTACCCGAGGAGAGCTCCAATTCCTCCAGCCACACAAAGCTCAGCCCCAGCAGGGCTGCGACCAGCTATTAAAATATGGAATCCCAGAATCACTGAGCCTGGAAAAGCCCTCCAGGATCACCCAGTCCCCCCTGTGCCCCATCCCCACCGTGTCACCCAGCCCAGAGCACCGAGCGCCACGTCCAGCCGCTCCTTGGACGCCCCCAGGGATGGGGACTCCGCCGCCCTCCCCGGGAAGCGCCGGTGTGTCCCTGTGCCTGTGTGTCCCTGCGTGTCCCTGCGTGTCCCTGTGCTATTCCCAACGCTGCTCCCTCCTCCTCCTCCTCCTCCTCCCCACCCCCCACCGGCGGGATGACAGGCACCTCGCTCAGGTAACTCCTTCCCCATCTCCCCCTCCACGCTGCCCACCTGCCCCCTCGCAGGTGCCGGGCCATCCCAACCCTGCCCTACAACAGGTGATGCTCCAAGTCCCGCCGCCCTCCCCGCGGCCGGCCCGGCCCGAGCCCTCGCACCCGCCCACCGCAGGGCGTTGCGCATAACACCGAGCGGCTCCGGGCGAGCTCCCCTTCCTCCACCGCCGCTCCCAAGGCCCGGGAAGGCAGAGCCGCGCTGGGAGCGGGGAAAGGCCGCGGGGAGCGCAGGGGCGGGCGGGGATGGCTCCCGCTCTAAGATGGCAGCGGAGCGCTGCGGCCCCTCCGCCGCGGGCCCGGGCGAGGCGGCCCCGGCTCGTCCCGCGGTGCGGCGTCTCACTCACCCGAGCGGCGGCTTCTCCCGGGGCGAGGCCTCCTCCCTTGGCGGGGCGAGCGGCCCGGGCGCGTCCTCCCGCTCTTCCCCCCCCCGGGGGCCTCGGCGGCGGCGGCGCCTCCTCCTCCTCCCTCGGGCCGCGGCGGTGGCCGCGGAGGGAAGGGGGGCGCGGGCGGCCCGGCGGGTCCCCGGCCGGGCTCTGGGTGTTCGCTGCCCTCACAAAATGGCGCGCGGTCCAAACCTGCGCAGCGCCCGGCGGCGGCTCGGCCTCGCCTCGGCTCGGCTGCGATCGGCGGCCTGAGCCCCGGCCGGGAGCGCGGGGACAGCGGCGGGGGGAGCGGGAGGAGCGGGAGGAGGAGGAGAGGAGGAGGAGGAGGAGAGGAGGAGGAGGAGGGGATGGGGGGAAGCGCAGCGCCGTACCGAGCCCCCGGGAACTCCTCGCTCCCTCCCTCCCTCCCCCGCCTGCCAGCCGCTACCTCCTCCCCCTCCCTCCCTCCCCGCCCGCTCCTCCTTCCCCTTCCCTCCCTCTCGCCCTCCCTCCTTCCTCACGAACCGGCTGCGCTTCCCGCACCGCCGCCGCCTCAGTCCCGTCCGCGCATCCCCGGCGGGACCCTCGGAGCGCACTTTTTTTTTTTTTTGGCGTCCCTTTCTTTTTCCTTTTCCTTTCGCGGTTGGAGGTCGAAACAAGGAGAAAGCGCAAAAGAAAAAGAGAAATTAAAAAAATAATAAAACAATAAACCCCGCGATTCTGGCGGGAAAACACAGCGCTTCGGTTCTTTTTTTCTTTTTTTTAATTATTACTTTTTTTTTTTTAAATTTAAAAAAAAACCCCAACTGACAAAATGGCGGCGGGGCGAGCCTGTTGCCATGGCAACTGTCAATCACCCGCGGCCGGGCGGGAGACGGCGCTGACGTGGGGAGGGAAGGGCGGGCGCTGCTCGCCATGGCAACGGCTCCTTCCCCATTCCCCCCCCCTCCCCTTTCCCCCTTATTCCATCCCTATTCCCGATCCATCCGCGCCCGCCCTCCGGCATGTGACGGTGTCGGCGGCGCTGCGGGCCGGGATGGCCCCGGCGGGGCGGGGAAGGGGAGCGGCCGCCATTCCCGGTGAAGGGACCCCGCCGGGTGAGGCGCCGCCGGCCCCCGCCCGCAGGGGGCGCCGGAGCCGCGGCGGCCGCTTGAGGCGAAGCCGAGCCCGCCGGGGCTTCCCGCCCGTTCGGCGTGAGGGGAGGGACCGGCCGGGCTCGGCCCCTCCGAAAACAGGCGTATTCCCCAAAAACCGGTTTAAAAATGCAGTAAGAGGAGCCCGCTGTGGGAGCCTCGAGTTCCGGAGGGAAGGCGCCTTTCCTCTCGGAATTGCGTCTAGGGGTTTTTCTCCTCCCCCTTAGAAAAGGAGTTTAAAAATGCGCTAAAATTAGCCCGGTGCGGGAGCCTCGGGCTGCTGAGGACAGGCTTCCCCCTCCTGAGGGAAGACTCCTCTCCCCTTAGAATTGCATCCAGGGGTCCTTCTCCTCCCCCTCAGAAAATCAACATATTCCCCCCCCAAAAAAAAACCAGTTTAAAAAATGCACTGTACGTTTCCCGGTGTGGGAGCCTCGGGCTTCTAAGGACAGGCTCCTTTCCCTCCTGAGGGAAGGCTCCTTTCCCCTCGGAATTGCGTCCAGGGGTCTTTCTCATCGCCCTCAGAAAATAAATGTATTTCCCTAAAGACATGTTGGGTTTGAGAGCCGCGAGGTTCTGAGGGAAAGCTCCTTTCCCCTCAGAATTTTCGTCCAGGGGTCTTTCTCATCCCCTTCAGAAAAGGGGTTTTAAAATGCGCTAAAATAAGCCCAGTGTGGGAGCCTCAGGCTGCCAAGGACAGGCTCCCTTCCCCTCGGAATTGCATCCAGGGGTCTTAATCCTCCCTCTCAGAAAATCAATATATTCCCCATAAAAAAAAAATAATAATTTTAAAAATGCCCTAGAAGTTTCCCGGTGTGGGAGCCTTGGGCTGCTGAGGACAGGATCCTTCCCCTCCTGAGGGAAAGCTCCTCTCCCCTTGGAATTCCATCCAGGGGTCTTTCTCATACCTCTCAGAAAATAAACGTGTTTCCCCAGAAACATGTTGGGTTTGGGAGCCTGGAGCTGACAAGGGAAGGCTCCTTTCCCCTAGGAATTGTGTCCAGGGATCTTTCTCATCCCTTTCTGAAAATAAATGTATTCCCAAAAAAATGCACTAAAAAATTATCCCCGCATGAGAGCCTTGAGCTCCCGAGGGAAGGCTCCTTTCCCCTTGGAATTGCCAGGTCGGTGCCGCCAGCCTAAATCTGTGACAGGGGTTTTTTTTAATTATATTTTTTTCTGGAATGCCCACAAAGATCAAAAAGTAGAGTATGGCCTTTATCTAATACTTTAATTCTAACGTGTGATACTTTAATCTAGTCATTTCAGTTCACAGCCAGCCTCCTTGGAGAAATTAGGACATGTTACTTGTTCCATTTGCTCTTTCTCCCTGTTTTAATATTTTTTTAATCTCGACTTAAAAGGTGGAAATAAGCAGCCAAGGATCAGGGGGACGGGTGGAGCCGCAGCCAAAGTGCCCCAAATAATTGAAGCATTGAGACTTCTACTTAAACACTGTGATCATGGAATCATGGAATGGTTTGGGTTGGAAGGGACCCTGAAGATCATCCAGTTCTAACCTGCTGCCATGGGCAGGGACACCTTCCACTAGCCCAGGTTGCTCCAAGCCCCGTCCAACCTGGCCTTGGACACTTCCAAGGATCCAGGGGCAGCCACGGCTTCTCTGGGCAACCTGTGCCAGGGCCTCCCCACCCTCACAGCCAAGAATTCCTTCCCAGTATCCAATGTAACCCTACTCTCTTTCAGTTTAAGGCCATTCCCCTTTGCTCTGTCGCTCCAGGTCTGTGTGAAAAGTCCCTCTCTGAGGATACGGATGCCGAGGGAACAGAAGGAACATGGGGGAGGAATCGTGGGACCACCCCATGGGTCACAGCACAGTGTCAGGTGAGATGAAATCATCCATGAAATTGCACCTTACAGCCTTGGGAGGAGTCTGGGAGCACCATGATTGAAGTGGTCCTTTCTCGTTCCCCTCAGCCCCAGAAAGATTTGAGGTCAATTAGGGCTGCTTTTGACACTTCTCCCTTTGCCTTCAAGTATGACCAGAATGTGGTTCTTGCCCAACACCTGATTGAGCTGGGGGGGGTTTATCTGGAGAAGAGGGGGCTCAGGGGGGACCTCACTGCTCTCTGCAACTCTCTGACAGGAGGGGACAGGGAGAGGGGGTCGAGTTCTTCTGCCACATCCCAAGGGAAAGGAAGAGAGGAAATGGCCTCAAACTGCACCAGGACAGGTTCAGATCAGAGATTAGAGAAAAAAAATTCTCTGCAGGAGTGTTCAAACCTTGGAATAAGTACCCCAGGGAGATGGTGGAGTCCCTGTGTCTGGGAGTGTTCCAGGTGTCTGGATGTGTCCCTTGGGGACATGGATGCGGGGTGATTGTGGTGCTGCTGGGGTGGGACTGGATGATCCTGAAGATATCTTCCAACCTTGATGATTCCATGATAGCAAAGGCCCATGGCATCACCTGCTGCTACCCAGGGGCTCCCAAGTGTTGGATTTTGTCCCGGGGCACTGCACACACTGAATATTGTACAGGAAATCCAGAACAATCCAAAAAGCACCGGCTGTCCTCCATAACCTCTGCCCAGCTCCTCAGTCAGGAAGGGCAGTTCCTCTCTCAGGGACGGGGGTTCCATCCCCAAGAGGATTTTGTAAACCCCTCTAAAATCTCTTTGCCAGTCTGGGTGAATGGTGCAGTGACACAGTAATTGCTCTGTTGGTCAATGTAGGTAACTACAGAGCTCACAGAAAGTTGTTACACCGTTTACTGTAATACTGTAACTTCTTGGGGTTTGAGTTCGGGGGTTTTTTTTGAGGGATTTTTTTTTTTTTTGCTAACACTTAAAAATATTACAGTTTTCAGGAGTCTGTGCGTTTGCTCAGTCATCCTCTACTTTTATTTTGCTGGCTATACCCGAGCTCTGGCAACTTGGGCAGAGATAAAATGTCATTTAAAAGATGATGGCTTTTTTTTCAAATTTTCTTTTCCAGCACAACCAACTAGATATTGTTGGCTTGTTAATACTATTTCAATAATGAATAACCTGCATGGTTCTTCTCTTGTACAACAGTGTTCTCCCAAGTGTCCTTTTCATTAATAACTCAGGGAAGGTTCAGGTTGGACATCAGGAGGAATTTCCTCCTGGAAAGGGTGGTCAGGGCTTGGCAGGGGCTGCCCAGGGAGGTTTGGAGTGCCCATCCCTGGAGGTGTCCCAGGAAGGCCTGGCCGTGGCACTCAGTGCTCTGGGCTGGGGGACAAGGTGGGATCGGGCACAGGGTGGATTCCATGGGCTGGGAGGGCTTTTCCAGCCTCAGGAATTCTGGGATTCTGGTTGCACATTACAGATGGTCTACAACATTTTCTGTTTTGGTCCTCAACAGCTGAAGGGATTGATTAAAATTGAGGAATGAGGTCGTTGGGAACTGCAGTTCCACCAGGAACCTGCTCCAGCCACAGGATCTGCAGTAAGAGCTGGTGTCAGGATGGACTTGTGTTCTCTGCTGCCAGCAGGTTTAGGGCTGGGATTAGGGATCTTCCAGACTGAGACTCTCGTGCCTCACCTGGAAACCCAGCCCACTGGGTGGGAACAGGACAGAGCACTGGGAGCTGGGAATCCTCCTCTGTGCTGGAAATATGGGTAAAGGTTGGGTTGGGTTGCCCAGCATTTGGGAATTGAGGGACTTCCAAGCTGGGACTCGGCCAGAATCCTGCTCCATCCAGTTTTGCTTTGATTTTAAAACCAGGTCGGCTTCCTGCTCCATTGTGTAACACATCCCATAAATGGCTGCACTGGAGAAACCGAGAAGTTGGCATTGCACAGGGGTGGGGTGGGAGTGAGGGGCAGGAGGTGACGGGACACTGTCACTGGCTTGGCTGGGAACTCCACTCAACAGCCAAAAATAAACGTGGAGCAAGAGAGACGAACTTCTGAGGGATCCACTTTGGAGAGAAGCAGCTGAGAGAACAGGGATTGAAGATGGAGTGACAGAGTTTGTGATCTGGACCAAGGGGATCCAACTTCCTGCTGGTTTCTTCTGCTTTATTCACCACAATGAGTTATCAAATCTTACCTTTATTTTAATTTTCTTTAGGAAGGGAGGGACTGTCAAGACAGAATAGACTAATTTTATTTAACTCTTCATCACAAACCACCTGGATTAGGTTTACAGTACTGGAAAACAGGAGTTTGTGTATATTATTATGAATTAGGAGATGGGCTCATAAGGAATACTTGGGTTTCTCTTCTTTGGAGACCACCCCTCAGAAAACAGTATTCTGGGCCAAAAAGAACAA